TCACACCCGTACACACATTCAAATCGCATTGCCACGACCGATCCCTTCACTTGACAACAAAACCTCTCATGTCATTGGGAGATGAATCGATAAAAAACATTGATACAATATCTATAATATATACATCGTTTTTGTTCTCCTTAAAAAAGTGTGAAGTTGGTGTTAGGAAAAAAAGGAGAAGAGAAAATGCCATTTCAAATATTATGTAAAATGTAATTAATTCAAATGTTTGTCTATATGAAATAAACTAGATTCGTTGTGGGAGAATCTAAAGATAACAAATTATGAGAGGTCAAATAATGTGGTTGCACCACCGATGTAGTTATTGAAGTGGGTATGGATCTCGGTTTCACTGAGGCGGCAGTTGGCGTTATCGTCGCGGTGGAATTCACACCTCGGATCGTGGAAGTACTCGAGGAAAGCTCACCACCACCACTACTCTCGCTACTACTGGACCACACCGAATCAGTTATGGTCATCGCTCGTCCCACATTTACCCTCGATCTGTTATTGTTTATGTTCATTATATAATTCTCTGCACCGATGTTATCATCGAAAATACCTCCCTCACTATTATACGCGTAACTATCAATGGGGCTATTTTCGTCGAGTGTCCCGAGGGCCGCTTTGAAACCAAGTACGCCGGATGAACCTAATGTCTGTAAATTTGTGTTTTCATTGGTCCTACCATTTGAACCGCTTGTACCTTCTCCGTGATCATCGTTCATCACCATTCCCGTGGTGTAGACATCCCAGGAATTTGTTAGGTAACCGCCTACACCGGCCCCTTGATCTTCCACCGCGGCCACCGTCGTTGAAATCTGACTTAACTTTTGCATTCTCGTCACACCCTGTATAACATTAACAGCCTTCCTGAAGGTGATTCGTGCTCTCGAGTTAGATATGGGGAATCGTGGTGATATTGGAGAGGAGGCGGTCGATGACCAATCCACATCAGGAATCTCGGCGGCGTACTTGAACCATTTGTGTGCCAACGCATCGTGAGCAGTAATCCTTTGAGCTGGGTCATACTCCAACATCCTTTCTATCAATTCTTTGGCCTCATCACTTATGTCCTCCCAGTAAGCATCATCGAAATGATATACGCCCTTAATTATGCAGTCAAACAATGCATTCTGATCTTCGCCCCAGAAAGGAGTGTAGCCGCACAGCACGGTGTACATTATCACCCCAATACTCCAGATGTCCACGGGTTTTCCATGGCCAGTTTGCTTCAACACCTCGGGGGCGACGTATCCAGGAGTACCACAAGCCGTCATCAGAATGTCGTCGTGATGCTTTAGGATTTTCGAGAGACCGAAGTCAGTAATCATCAATCTTGGAAATGGGGATTTATCGCTGAACAAGAGATTCTCGGGTTTTAGGTCACGGTGAACGATCTCATGTGCATGTAGGTATTCGACTCCGCGTAAGATCTGTTCGATTAAGATCGCGGCATCTTTTTCGGTATAGCTACCGCGCTGAAGTAACTGGCTAAATAGCTCTCCGCCCAGAGCCAGACCGGTGATGATGTAGACGGCATCTTTGGTTTCGATGAGTTCATGTAAGGAGACAATATTTTGATGATCGACTTGCTTAAGAACGTCAAGTTCGGTGGTTATCATCTGTTCTTTGCCTCGAATGGCCTTCTTCATAATGATCTTTAGTGCATAGTTGACACCGGTCCTCTTATCTGTGCACTCTCTGACCACGGCAAACGATCCCCGACCGAGTATCTTCTTGGAGACCTTATAGTACTTTTCTAGAGACCAAGGGTACGGGGGTTCGCCAGGAGAAACGATATTTGTAAGTTTGGTTTTTGTACGCTTTTTATTCGTTTTTGCTGTGGCTTCTTGGGTTTTGTCGTTTGGGGTTACTGGGTCGCTGTGAGTTACGAAATTGTGGCTGCCGGTACTATGGTCCTCGACAGGATCCTGATGCTTGAATAATTGAGCTAGGATTTTATGCATTACCAACCTGATGTTTTGTTTGGTAGAGGGTGGTGAATGATGGAGAGAGGTTTTGTTGTCAAGTGAAGGGATCGGTCGTGGCAATGCGATTTGAATGTGTGTACGGGTGTG